GTTTTAGACATACCCTCTTTATTTGTTTCCAAATTCTTAATGTTTGGCAGCAAAAATGCACCCAGGATTTTCTAAAAAAAAATTATTTTTTTTCTAAAACACTCCTGTTTGCCCAATAGCTATTAAGGAGCATATTTCTTTGATATAAGCAAACAAGGTTTTATGTTTAAATTAATATAATATTACAAATAATACTACCATGAACATCATGGAAAACTGAGAATATTTTCCACTCATCTTTTTTTTCAAATTTTAAAATACTCAAGCAGAATAGATATCCTTTTTTCCCTATCTATGGACTTCCTTTTGCACACTGTAGATGCTGTCTGAAATCAGAAATTAATCATAACGAATCTTGGAGATCTCAAAACATAACATAACATTTAAAGACCTGCAGTTTAGAGCACTTTCCTGAAAGTTGCAAGTGTTCTTTACTCTGAAGAAATACCAAAAAAAAAAATCTAAGCTAGTTTAAAAAATACTGTATTTCATTTCAGAAATAATTCTTTCTAATTTTCTCACCAAAGTAAAGAAACCATACTTCTTTATATATATATATATATATATTTTAAAAAATCTTTTCTATTTCACAAGGAAACCTGTTGGAACAATTTAAGGAATTAAATTTCAGTCTGGAACTTGACTGGGCAGGGATCATAGATAATGGTAATTTAAGGTTAATACGAGCTTTTATTTCTTTAAACTCAAAGATATAGAGTTTCATTTAAGAATAATTCAGAGAAAAGCTGTTTTCTTTTATTAGTCACAAATTATAGCATTGTATTCATGCTGCTTATGTTTCTACCGGATCAAGGAAGAACAAAGCCATCTGATTAACCACAGTAAAACACAACTGGAACACTTGCAGAGAATTTTTAAATGCCACGGATCTGCAGTAACTGCACTAGTTTAAACAAAGGAGAAAAAAACTGATCGATTTTAGAAATGTTTTCAAATATCTGATTCATGAGCCCATGAAGGATAAATTATTCTAGTAAATTATTTATTGCAAATTATTCATCTATCTGTAAAGACTAGCAGTCATTATGTTTTGTCAAAATAGCCCAACTGATGAATATCCAATGGAATATATTGATTGACTAAATTTCTGAAGAAAACTGAAAAAAAATCTGTTAGAAATCAGTTTGAAGTACTTGAAATGCCTTGTGCATCTACAATGAAGTATTTCATTCTCTGTCCTGTGAGGCTATGACATGCCTCACTTCTGCGATAGACATAAATCTTCTATCTTCTTGTGCAAAAAATAAATAAATAAACAAACAAACAAATAAATAAATAAATAAGTTGGTTCTTTCTTCTCCCTCTCCATTCTCTATAAATATAATGAGGATAATCAGACATTACGTCTTTCACACTTCAATTTGCTAAAATAAGTGAGCCAAACACCTTTAATCTTGTCTCGTAAGATACTATCTCCATTTCCTATATAGTCCTATCATCAGCTTCTTCCTCCATTTCTTCTAGTTTGCTCTTTTCGAACGTGGATAAGCAATGAGACAGCATTCTGGGTGGTTTTTCACGAGCAACTTGCACTATGGCATTGGTGTGTCCATATTTCTTACTGTAAATGCTTCACTATATTTATTCCAGGATCATGCCTGCCTTCTTCATGGCCATGCCATAGTTAAAACTCTCCTTGGATCAAAATACTTATTTGCAGATTTGCTAATGATTTTGTATGCAGCATTGTAACAAATACTTTATAAAAGACCGCCTTGCATAAAAGTCAGGAACAGGCTTTTAAAATACACTGGCTTTTATTTATCCTTATCTATAAAATGTCACCTTCCAGTCAGTTTTCAGAGGGAACTGTTGCACTTCTCAAGAGGAACGCTGATATAAGATTTCAAAGAGCTTTCAATGAACTGTATATCTCCTGATCAGAGTCTATTTAGAGCTTCACAGTTATCAGTCTTTAGAGCAAAGATGGCTGAAGTAAGAACAGTGAAGGAAAATCTTATCCAACTATCAAAAATTCATTTATTAAGCAACTACCAGCAGAAGTAAAAATGTACAAGGTAGTGTAGATAAACAAAGCTACATGAGAAAAGTGAGTCCTGATAAAAAGTTCACAAAACTTGGCACGATTAGAATAGCCAGAGCACTAGAAATGGAGTCATAAAATAACTCCATCCAATTATATACTAAATTTTAAACTGAAGACTCTGTCTCATTGGGTGTCAGGAGTCTATCTAGTAATTATGTCAGGATGTTTCACCTGGAGGAATATTCTGCTCACTTATTTTCCTTTTTATTTCTCTTCTGTTTGCCACTCATACAAAATCATTATTCTTATCCTAGACATCACTATAAAAAACATTTCTCTTGTCACCTAGCAGCAAAGAAAAGCTTAGACACACCTTGAAATTAGGACTTTCTTTTGGACATGCTCGAGCACAGCCATGTGTATCATTTGAAGTATACTGATATCGGAAGAAAATCTTGTTGTTTAGAAGTTTATCTAAAAATTTGATTTTTATTGTTAATTTTGTTGAAAGCTTCTAAGATATTTAGTTTTTATGCATGCTAAAATGAGTTTATTTATGTAATCAAAATTTACAAAGCTAAATTTAATTTTGTCTAGGCAAAATCTGCAAAAATCTAGACGAACAAATCTCTAGATGAGCAGTGAGGTGGATTGAGAACTGGTTTAGTGGCAAAGCTCAAAGGGTCATGATCAATGGCATGAAGTCTGGCTGGAAGCCTAGAGCTAGTGGTGTACCCCACCGGTCAATATTTGTCCAATCCTGTTCAACGTCTTCCTCAACGACCTGAATGAAGGGACAGAGTGCATCCTCAGCAAGTTTGCTGGTAATACGAAACTGGGTGGAGTGCCTGATACCTCAAGGGTTGTGCTACTAAGATGGCAAAGAGACTGGAGCATCTCTCTTAAGAGGAAAGTCTGAGAACTGGGCCTGTTCAGCCTGGAGAAGACTGGGTGGAGATCTTGTCAAAGTACACAAATACCTGTAGAGAGGGTGTTAAGAGTCTCTTTACAGTAGTGCTCCACAATAGGACAAGAGGCAATGAGCATAAACTGAAGCACAGGAAGGTCCGTCTGAATACGAGGGATAACTTCTTTATCATAAGAGTAACAGAGCACTGAAGCAGGTTACCCAGAGAGGTTTTGGAGTCTCCTTCCTTGGAGATAGCCAAAAGCCATTTGGACACAGTCCTGTGCAATGTGCTGTAGGTGATCAGGTTTGAGCAGGAGGGTTGGACCAGATGATCTCGAGAGGTCTCTTCCAACCTCAGCCACTCTGTGACCCTGTGGTTCTGTGAAATCATCTTTAGCTTAAATCCCTAAAAGGGATGATTTGACCCATCAGACTCTTAAGGCTCTCCCTTTAATTCAAGATTTTACTTTAATTCTTCTCTCTCATTTGGCTCCTTTTTCCTAGACCTTCCACTAACACCTTTAAAAACAGCTGACAAGCAGTGATTAGAGCAGCAATTCAGGGAAGTCCTTCATATGGGCAAAAAACGTAATTAATGACTATGTGATCGGTGTTGATCAGTTTATGTTCCACCCTTTTTACACACTTTCATTAGCTTTGATTTCATAACTCTAGTTAAAGTTTTATAAGATAAGTAAACTGCACATACTTTATTTAAGTTTTAATAATAAAAGAGCCACAGTCTTACAGGAGAGGGAGTATGCTTTATAATGTATGCTGTGAGTCTCCAAGAAATACATTTGCTTCTAATGTGAGTCAGAAGGTACTTATTTTATGGATGTTGCATATAAGAACTGTTGGCAGTAATTCAAACTCTTATAAGTTTGGGTTAATATCGGGTATGATTTGTTTTAGGAATGTTTCTACAGGTTCTATCAAGACTTAAGATAGTTTTAAACTTACTTTTCCTCTGTGTACCTGAAACTATAAATTGAAATATGAGGGAATTAGACTAAATTCATGGTTACCAAACCTCATGCACATTCCTCATGTATTAAGTTTTGGGGGACTTGTTCCTTTTCTTTCCATTAAAAAGCAAAATCCTGTGAAGAATGCATGATTTTCATAGAAAAATCTACTTTCAAAAAAAAAATCAATTTGTTCATTGCCCAAGTCCTTTTGAATTATGTCAGTCTTCACTAGTCAAGAAGTGACAACCATCAATTTTGTTAGTCATTTAAGTGACGGCCTACTCTCAGATTTTCATTCTCTAAATCCTTAAGACTTTTCTGTCAAAATCTGTGTTGCAGCTTTTGCAGAGAGTTCCCACCTAATTAAAGTATAAGTTTGAAAATAAGTTGTCTTCTCCACATTTAGCACTGGTTCAGCTCATTGCTGAGCACTGTGTCCAGCATACAGCCTACAAGTCAGGGAATATGCTAGAAAATTTTGATACAATTCAGAGGAATGTATGAAAGTGACTGAAAAATTGGAAAACAAGTATTGCATTGACATGGAAGAATATACATTTACTTTACCAAGGAAGATGTTACAGGGTCATTCAGCTTAAAAGCATCTAAAAGGGAACAAAAAGAGAGGAGAGAGAGGAGATTTTAAAACAGAAAACAAAGATATTAGAAAAAAATAGTGGTGGGAAGCTGAAACCATGCAAAATGAGAATCAGAAGCAAGCTGCAAAGTTATGATTCAGAATAAGATAGGAAAAACTGTGACTGCTTCTTTATGCTTTTAAATCGAGATTACATGCTTTTAAAAATGCATGGTGTATTTCAGCCATAGATATTCTATTTAAAGAAGAAGATATATCTAGAAGACTCTGGCTTGTGTCATAGAATAGACCAGATTAACATAATTTTCCCTCTGTCCTAAAGATCTATAATTTGTTGATTGACATTTTCTCTAATATGACACTCTACAGTAACAATGCAGTAATTTAAGTGTGGATTTTTTTTTTTTTTCTTCCTATCTTCCGTTATGTTTTATTTGTTTTGCTGGCCCTGCATCTTCCATTCCTTTTCTTTTTGGTTTGTTTTTCTTTGTTTCTTTCTTTCTTTCACTCCAGGAATTGGTCAAGGGGTCCCAGTGGTGGCCCTCATTGTGGAAGGAGGTCCCAATGTTATCTCCATTGTTCTGGAGTACCTGCGAGACACTCCTCCCGTTCCTGTTGTGATATGTGACGGCAGTGGCCGAGCATCTGACATCCTTGCCTTTGGACACAAATATTCTGAAGAAGGAGGGTGAGTACTGTGCTAGTGAATGTTCCTTCTTGATCTGCAGGTTCAGCCTGGTGGTGGCACAGAGCCCAGGAAACTCTCAGCAAAACTAATCCCTTCCTCATACGGCAGTTTCTGTCATTGATATGGATAAAATATTGAAGGCATAAAGTCCAAGAAAAGAAGAAGTTAAATCAAAACTAAGGAAAGTCCTCAGAATAAAACTATCTAAGTTTAATAATAATAATCTGCCATGGGAGATAACTCAGCGTCAAGTATGTTGTGTAGCATCTGGCATCTCATTCAAAGGACATGGGAAGTTATTTTCACTGCATCCAAAGCTGTCTTAGATATGATACATGTGATAATATAGCATTCTGCTATCTTCAGGTTTCAGGCAGGCCTACCTAAATCACCATGGTCCCTCAAAGTTTGTATAAGCTAGTTTGTATCTGCCTTGTCCTTTGGGCAAGATTCTCTGAGCTTATCTATATTCACACTACGACTTTTTGTGCACTGATCTTTATTAGCCCTCTTGCACCTTTCTGTGCAAGCTCAAGGTGAAGAAAGAATTTTATTGAGTTTGTGTAAGGAAAACTCAGGTGTGTTTTTGTTGAATAACCCTGTATATACAATTTGCAAGATCCCAACTCTATGTTATAATTAAGTGACTAATGTTTGAAATATGCTTTTTCTCTACCCACAAATAGGTATGCAATCAAGGTAGAGCAACAATTTAACACTCAACAATTTAAAAACAACATATGAAGATGGAACCAAAATCCACTCAGATACAAATTACTACAAGCTAATTCGTGCCTCTTCTCTCCAGCTGACTTCACTGACTTGCACAGATCCAGGCTTCACAGGGAGAAAACACATTTTTTTATGTCAGCATATGTAAATACAAGTATTCAGACCTACAATAGAATTATGCAAATGATAAAACATGAATACTCATTGAGCTCTAATCTAGCATTTATTTTGAAAATAAATGTAATCATGAAGCTTCCTTAATTTAAAACTCTGATTCCCTGAGAAGCAGTTTTAAGCTACCTCACTGTTTATACCTTTAAGAAAACCTTATCCAAAGACATTTTATACCTTTGCTTCATTTGTACCTGTGTTTCTGTCTACCTTCTCTGTGTTCTGATATCCTGAGGAAAAAGAACACAACAAAAACTAACTAGAAAACAGTTTATTTCACCATCATAAACTCCTATCTATAAGAAAAGCAAATACTATTTGTTGCAGGCAGAATGAGCAAATGTTTTCTTATCTAAGATGCCCAAGCTTCACTTCTTAAAAGCTACTATTCTTTTGTCTGCAATTCTTTCCAGCTGAAGTTTTCCAGGTTTTGCCTGCAATCATAATATCATATGGGATAAAAACCTTTGGGCTGCTCAGGCTGCACTAAATAATATGTGAGAACATCTATGTTTTTGTCCCACTTCTGAAAAAAACAGTCTAAAATACATATTATTTGAAATGAAACACCAATATTATTTGTATTCATAAGAATATTTTACTTAAATACCTTACAGTTCATACACAGAGTTGGTACTTTCCCCTCTCTGATTATATTAACCTACTTTTGAGTAATGTTTAGCTATATGAGGAGAATACAGTATAATTGGCACATTGACTGAATTCAGCTACTAGTTTTGTCTTTAGAGGCAATCTAAGTAGGTTACATGAAACTGTGTCTATTAGATGATAAATTCATGTAGCACATCCAAATTGCAGTCAAAATTTAATTCTCCAGTTCTCCATGCAATCAGAATTAAAGTAAAAAAAAAAAAAATCCCTACTTTAAATCTGGCTTCTGGCTGCAAATCAGAGTTGTCTCCAAGCTGTATTGTAGCTTCTCATTGCTATGCATGGGGTGTATGATCTAAATCACTCAAAAACCCCATCACACATGGCAACAACAGGCTCTGCATTTGAACATCAATATTGCTGCACTGTTTTTTTAGTGTCTTAAATTTTCATACAGTATGTGCAAGAAGTTGACACATTTTCTATATATACTAAAGAATGTGTGCATTTGTGTGCTAAATATTGCTGTAAGTTTTCAAGTTTATTTGAAAGTTTGTTTTCATGGGCATAGAACTGGTCCTTTATGTTGGGTTTCATAGAACTGTGCTCTGCCTGCCTTCTATCCTTGTTTATCCTTCCCAATCAATTTCACATAGCTGGGGGAAAAAAAAAATCTGATTTATGCAAGGTGAAGTACCCCTATCTGCAACATGAACCCTTGTGCATCCTTGAAGACCTGAGATTAGAAGCTGGAAACTGCCTTATTTTAAGACCTTACTTTAGGTTTCTTGCAAAATAAACAGTTACTCAGTACAACATGAGAACATTTCACAACATCAGATTCCCAGTACATAATGCAACTTCACGTAAAGCTTTACTGGCTGCAGTGCAAGGAGAGTCCTCCAGCATACTGTGGTGGTCCAAGACAGAACCATGCAGAGAGCAGTGCTGGCACTGACTTGCAGTGGTGTTGCTTGCAATGGAGGGTAAAGTAAGAAATAGATCAGAAGGAACAGCGTAGCATACCTAAAAGTAAAGACACCCTTAAAGGTCAGTCTGAGGAATAAGTGCGTTTCCTCTCTCAGAAATAGTCTATTCAGCTTGGTGGGAGGACTGCAAGCACGAAGTGAAGCGCTTTGTACATATGCAGTGTTTGAGCATTACAAATATCGAATATGGAGTATTAATGCATTTTTTTAAAGTATACTATAACCAAGTTTACCATAACCAAGTTTACCATACATTGGTATGGTAAGCATATGTTTTGTCTTAATCCCCCAAAAATGAAGAGAACATTCAAGAATATAGAGGGTGGTTCCCTTTCGCTACAAGCAAAAGCCTCAGTAGTAAGCCTTATTCCCATTACCCTTTACATCTTCTTACTTGACAAACAATTTATTACTAGAAGATCATATAAATGAGAAATAGGCTTAAATGCCACCTTCCTTATGTTGCAAGGCAGACAGACTTTGTGGCTGATTATCAGTATTACAGTCCCTAACTAAAAGGCCAAGATGATAGTGTCTGGTATAGCTACTCATTTACGTTAAATAAATAAGTAAATAAATATTGACGTGCTGAGAACATAGGAACTATCATAAGTCCCTAAATTTAGTCCCCTACTAAGCACCAAACTATGAAAGTGAATGTGCCTCCTCCACACAAACCAAAATTATTTTTGACTGTATAATCAAGGACGTCTTCTTGTTTCTCTTTCTTGCACACAAGCACAAGCTGAGAGTAAAATAACTGTAAAGCACCACTATTTATAGAATCATTCAGTAGTAGTTTTTAATCCTCAGTGAATTTTTAATTACATGCTGAATTTAAAAAGAGAAAGATGAAACACTAGGTTAAAGATATGTCACATCTTAGACAAATATTTCCTTACAGAATGGGAAATGACTTGCAATATACGAATCCTGTCTCCCAGCTGAGTTTATAGTGCCTTAGCTATTCCATCAGTTCTATCCTGCAAGCATGAGAACCTTAAGGAATTGAGTTCAGTGCAATAAAAATGTACTTCTTGCCTGATGTTCATAACGAAACATATAAAACATTCTCTCTGCTTTAAATGAGCTATACACCCTCTTGTGGGACTCATTAGAGATTGCCTTTCAATTGATCTGTCTGTATCTCTCCCATGGCATAGCTTTTAGGCTTCATAACCAGAGCATAAGACTCAAATATAATTTAAAAAAAAAAAAGGAGTTTTTTTCACTTTGAGTAAAAGGGTTCATAATTTAGGTAGAATATCTTTTATGTTCATCATGATGTTTAGTATTTCATCTGAATTATTCTGTAAGATTGTTTCCACATTGCATATATTTAAATCAGACCCTTTTTCTTTTGTACCAAACACTTCGCAAAGCAAAAAACTGCAGAGAAAGAAGTCATTCATTTGTTGAAATACAGCCAGCTCCCTTCTGTTGAGGGTATAGCTCTTCAATAAATAGAAGTCAAGCAAAAATAGTCTTGAAAAACAAACTCCCATGAATAACTTCCAGTAGCATCTCTTCTTCATTAAAACACCTAGGAATCACCATTGTTTGAATGGAACTTAGGAATTATTACGTTGATTTTCTCTTTTTTCCTCAGAACAATACTGTGTAAAATATGCAGATTTCAAAGATATGAGAAATTCAGTCAGTCCCACTGAACTGCATAATTATGCCTTCTTTACAGTTCCAACTATAATAAATATCAACTGATCTTCTGGCTGTGTTTCTTACACTTGGTAAAAATGCAAATCATAGTTAAAAAATAAAACACTTTCAGTTTCCTATAAAGGAGGACAAGGAAGAGTTTTCACACCACAAAGATATTTTATGTATAAACTTTCATTATCCTGAATAAAAAGAATAATAATAAAAAACAAATAAGATTTCATAAATGAAAACTCAGAAATAAGTTGTATTCAATTCATTGAATCACTGAATGGAAGAGTTTATTTAGAGAATTTCAAAGCCTTTCAGTATCAGCCAGTTAAAGAGATATATCTTGAACTTAGAAATCTGATTAGAGCATAATCACTATACATCTCCAATATGATATGCAATTCCAGATCTCTAGAGATAAATGACTAAATAATTTAGGAACTGGCTATAGACCAAATCTTTCAAATCCTCTCCAAATCATATCCCATGAGCCTGAAAGACAGAGATGTTGATGAGTGGAGTGTCTATTATCTACTCAACATTGGGCTTGACTTCAAAAATTATTTCTTTCTAAAAATGGAGGATGCCAAAATGCTGTCATCTGTCTCTCTGGGATCACCTGCAGCAATCAAAGGAGTCCTGCTTTGTGTTAAATTTTCCAGAGTATTTCAGACAGAACTAGAATGAAGCTTTATTTAAGCTTTATTTAGTTTGTGACTCCAGTTTGAGGATTCACTCGGTCAATAAAAAGCACCCTCCAGTTTCTCTTCTGGCAGGATTCTAACATCAGCCTTGATGATCTAATGCCTTTCAAAAAGCATAATACTGGCACCTTCACAAAATAAAACCAAAAAAAAAAAAAAACACTCTTTTCACTTCTGACCAGATGTTTTCTGAAAGGAATGGAAACTTATGAATATAGTTCCAGATTGGTTGTCAGTTGTTTGAAATTAGGTACCTAGATCCCATCAAAATATAAGATGACAACCCAGCTTTGGAAATAAATTAGTTGGTAGCTAAACTTACAGAGAATCGCCTTATCTTATGTATGCAGAGAATGAAAGAACAGCTTTTACTTATGCGGGAAAAGTAAAGAACAGGTTGAATTGTTTTTTATAGAAAAAAAATCTAGGAAGAAGCAAGCTACCTGCAGAATTGCTGCCAAGACAAATTTAAAGAATTCAGGGAGTCTGGTCACCAAAATGGCCAGAACAGATACACTGCGAATTATTTCCTATATCACAGCCTACAAAAATGATGATAAAAGTTCTATTTTTATTTGACGCTGATTAGATATGTGAAATATGTTAAATATGAAGCGTACAGTTTTCCTGTGCTACGGGAAGGAGTCATCATAGAATATTGATCTGGTAAACCGAAGTGCATGATGCCAATGAGCCTTATGCTTATGGAGGCTTATAACATGTGGCAGAGGTTGCTCTCGTACTTTGATATAAAGTGCTGAGCATCTCCTATGTTTTAGGTAAAAATTAAAATCACAAGACTCTAGTGTCAATCTCTTTTCCTAACCTAAAATTAGGAATCTGTGATATTAAAATGCATGTTGCAAGTTGTGTGTGTAGTGAATATAGTTGTTTTTGCCTAATAGATTGATCACTGAACCTCCTCCAAGTTGTTTTGTTCACAGTGGTCTGTCAAGTTACCTGTTTTACATGCATCAAGTTTGATATATGCACCACAGATTTAGATATTTTTAACAACATGGTGCAGATTGCATTGACCCCATCTGGATTACGTAATTGGGATATTTGATTTTGGGGCTTCTAATTTTAGTAGATTCCTACATAATTCAGTCTTGATTTCAGTTTCTACAATGTTAAGTTGGCTATGTACACTTTATTAGAAAGTAGTTTTGTAGTTTTGATTATAACTACACAAAACATCACAAAGACAAGCAGGAAGATAAAACCTCCTGTAGAGCTGAGACATTACTATATGTGCTTTATAAGCTAGAAAAATGCATAGGTCAAATGGTGACAACAAGCTTATGAGCAGTGATATTTTGACATGCGAATCCCTCTAACTAGGAACTAACCTAATTGTGTGGATTTTTTAAAATAACTCTGTTGCTTTCGCATAGATTTTGCTTCACAAGCTCTTTAAATTTATGATGTGATATTGCTTCCCATAGCTATAATTCAGGGGAAAAAAAACCTGATGGCTGCTTAGGAAGCCTTGGAAGAAAACTGTGAGGAGTTAATTGTGCTTTCACTCTATGCTTGTCACATTAAATTTCTCTTGCTCTATGTGCATTAGCCTTAGAGAAAGCTGCTTGTATTAAATCAAACACAGCATTTGGGTTCTACAATGAGCGTTATCTCAAGATCCTTGGAAACACTGTAAAATCCTTCCCTGGTTCAAGCTTCTGATTTCAAATGCTTCCAAGCGTATATTTGTAATATACTTCCAGTGTTTCCAATGGAAATAAGAATTTTATTTAAATCTGTTTTTTAGGACTTTCTAGCTGTTTTTTCTTTAATTCAGTCCTCATGACTGTCCCCTTTTCCTTTGCTTAGTTTGAAG